ATTTTAACTCATTCATGTATAATTTATACATTTTATTTTCTATTTCATTGTAAGTTGCACATTAAATAAAAGCGTTTTCTTATTTATTTTTATTATCTCGAAACGTCTACCAATAATTAAAAATCAATTTCAGCTCAATCCCTATAGTTATAAAGTATTTTATTTTGTTTAACACATTTTTCTTGGGGTAACGTTTATACACATTAAAGACAATAACACTAAAATGTCTATTGATGCTTCTTTATCGGTTAAAATGGGCAACAACAGACCTTCAGCGATGTAACATGATCTCCCTGTTTCCTTAAAAGTAACGAATTTAAATATTCACTCCTGTTACAGTCTTCAGGGTAACAGAGTCACACTCTTTTTTTATTTCACTCTTATTTAATGTCTTGGAGAATATAACCTTATGCTGTAGGGCAAGTTGATTTTTAAACTTATTTTTTTAATATTTTAAAAATATTGCTCCATAAATGCGGTTCTACTCTCCATGGTCACTGTTGTCTGACTATTATTTTTGCAGACAAGTTGTCTAGGTGCCTATAACACATGGAATTCGAAAATATATCAATCCATAGAGAAGTAGTCGAAACATCGAACAAACGTCGCTGACATTCGGTTAGCAGAGATTCCACCAAGAAACCAAATAATGCGAAAGAGTAGAAACAGGAGGGGGTAAAAATGGTGCAAATTGAAAAAAAAGAGTAAGTCGTTGCAGGCTGTAGTGTAGGTTGGCAGGTATGACACGTCATTGTCAAGTACATATGTTTGGACAATAATATCAGATTCTGGCTTCGTTTATTCCAACTATGACTTACTTTTGGACGTTAACAGTGTTTTTGGAGTCGGGGGTCTGTGACAGATGGGGAAAATTTAATCTCAATGCGTGGAAGAACAAACTTGGAGCTGCTGCGGCCCCGGGTCTGAGTCGGTACCCGGTTTCCCAAGCAGAAGCAGAGTGATGAGGGTAAAGAACGGGGGCGGTGGAGGGTAGCTGGTTCACCCAGTCTATTGTACCCGCTCCTTAGCCCCATTAGCCACCACCACCAACCACTTCTCCTTCCCGAGAGGAGCGTGAGGCCCGACCGCCCGCCCGTCTGACTGAGTGCGTGTCAGCCCGGCCTCGGTCTCCATCATGTAGGACGAGAGGCGGTAGCAGAGAAACAGTAGCTGCATTTAGAGCCCGGTCTCCAGGAAAGAGAGCAGAATGTGCAGAGAGAGAAAACACTGGTGCAGGAAAAGAGGGAAAGTAGAAGCCCCGACAACAAACACCGAGCCTGACAAAGTTGTCTCTTTGGCAGTCGCGCCTCCTATTGAAGCAGTAATTTATTCAAAGGAGATTTTTATCCCCGCGATCTGATTATTATGATAATGGAGTGACCCAGACCCCCTTTCTTGGCTCTTGTCTGCGGGCCCTGTGCTCGGCGGTGACAGTGAAAGCTGATTTGCACGGTCTTCACCCCCTCTTGCTCCACACATTCCTGGACTCCTGTGCATCAAAAAGACGCACACAATGAGAACAGTGGATGTGCGCACTTGATCCAGGCGCGGGAGCTGAAGGCCGCGCTCTCCGCCGGGGGCTTTGTGTCAAACGAATACTGGTAGCCAGACAAGATTACACGAAACTTTTTTTATAATCCCACATGGGTCCAGAGTGGGGCTGAAAACCCCACACACGTAACACGTGAGGCTTCAGGCTGTAGCAGCAGCAAAAGAGCCTGCGCCTCGTACAGACTGTCTGTGCGTAATTACGCAATAAACGTCGGCCAGGTTCACTCATTTTACAAGAAACATTACAAATACGTGAATGAGTTAACATCAAAGATGAACTCAGATAGATCCATCTAGCCTAAACGTTGAATATTGGGTTTCTTTAGTGAGAACTTCTCTCCCCACGTCCACATCTGCTCTCATTTGAATTCAGAGGGAGGAGACAAAAACAGATCTGCATCGTGTCATAAAGGGGAGGGTCTTCGTGGCAATATATGTTTTTAGACCAGGCACGTCTTGGTTCATATTCCATCTGACGGGAGGAATGGCGAGTCAGGAGTGGAGATGAGAGAGGGGGTGGCGTTCGAGACCCAAGCACTTTCGTTCACGCCGGGAAATAATGGGGATGATAATAAAACAGGGGGGAAAACCCGTCCGAGTGAAGCTGAATGGATGGAGCCAGACACACGTCACGACCAGCCGCAGCCATGAAGAGCATGCGGTCCAGCCTCCGGCTGCTCACTTGCTCTTCATCTACAGAACCGTTCGCTGCTGAGGCTTCGAGAGAAAGAACGGGGCGACGACGCAAAGGCGACCGCGTGAGTATGAACCGCTGGTGTGTGTTTTCCCTCAAAGCTGGGTAAGAAAGACCGAGAGGGATGGAGACAGAGGCAGGTGCAGGGTACTGGAGGAGAGGATGAGGGAGAAGCAGCAGCATCAGCATCAGTACACAGAGAGGACAGGGAACATGGATGCGGGGAAGACGTTATGCCGCAGATCCAGGTCTTTTTTTTTTTTTTTTTTTTACCGATTTCAGTCTGTATTTCTGGGGAGTCTCATGAGCAGCAGGAGGTAATGAGTCTTCAGAGAAAGGAGAAAACACGCCGCTGTAAGGGCTGGGGAAAAACGTGAGGAGGTTCAGCCCAGAATGTGTGTGTTTCTCCCTCTCTCTCTCTGATTTCATTTCTATATTATCAACTATATTAATTTTATTTTGCAATCACTAATATTCTGAAATGTTCGACCAATGTCCAGGACTAGTGAAAGGTCACTGATGATGTGAAGAGAGATTCGGATTCTCGGAGACTCTTCTGTGTAATTTGTGAAAATTCTTATTGAAACTTGTCCTTAGTTTATTTTAATTTAGGAGGATAACTCGTCGTTCCCACGTCCTCAATAACGCACTGTGCACATATGCTTCATTTGCGCCATTCATACTATGCCACAAAGGCCAAAAGGCGCTTCCAGCGTTGATTTCAATACACACACACACTAACGCATAGACACACACTCACATCCTCGAATGCAGTACAAGTACATACAATCACCCTGCGTGTACTTGTACTGTCTCTAGCTCTACCCAAGAGATGTTTGACACCAAAATCCGACAGAACAATTTCTTTTTTTCTCCTGTTTTTATTCTCCACATTTAGCCTTACAGGACGTCGGTCGTCCATGTGAGGATTATCAGCACACAGGCCTGCTGCCATGCATGCGTAATAAGACAAAGTGGTGGCAGTTCACACCCAGACTTAGCGGATGAAAGGATCTCAAGGCCAAATATCCAATTCACACGTGTGCGCCGAGGACGAGGCCTAAGCCCAGAACGCGTGCCAGACCACACAGAGAAGGAGAGCGGGCAATAATAAGTGAGGTGGAAGAATATTACATTAAAAACTTGAGATTTTTTGCAACAAAATGCGAGAAAGAATACACGAGTGTGAGTGTAGGCAGCAAAGATGCGGGAGAAAATATCCTGGGAGGGATGCATCTGATGTCCTTATACATTTCATTCTCTGCGTCTCCCACACAAACATGTACACACATCCGCGCTGTTATTGGACACGTGCGATGCGGAGGGAAGTGATGCTGCTCTGTTCCATGTACCCTGTGGTGTGCAGAGTGAGGTAATGTGGCAGCTCCGCGCTGTGCCTCCACCTGAAGAATAGAAAGCACCACCAGGATCCCTGGAGAGACATTCAACGGCCTCACTACTCATGGCTCAGTGTAGGAACAGTGCAGCAGGGCTGCCAGCACCGGTCAGCCGTCTGAAGGACGGAGGACACGTCTCATACACCCACAAGTGTCTGCTATCAATTAAGTCGTGTTACACTTGTGATTTGCCCCAAAGTGGTGCTTTTAAAGCAAACATCCGAAAATCATTTGTAAAGCCAGGAGTTTCAAGTCAATATATTGCCAAATGCGATATTTGTAAACCAGGAACCTCCAAGTCTTTTTAAAATTAAAATTTAGATTTTTTTTTTTAATTTAGCCACTTTGGCAGTGTATGCCTTTAATTACACACACACCTTTAATTGTACGTAAAAGTTTTGGTTTTTTTACCTATGCTAAAACTCGTGCATAATTGTTTCAATTCAAGTTGAAACACCTCAACTGGCCTGTACCACGTGGTTACAACTGACATCGTCTTGTAGAAAATATCAATTTCTCACCAATCAAGCATAATATATCCCCAGTCAATTGATTTTTCAGCCAATGGCAAAGAGGTGGGAAAAAAGTCGATGCTTCAAAAGAAAGATTTCGAAATTCATTTTTTAATAATAGGCAACGAAATTAGGGGGAAAATAGGTCGCTGCACTCACTGCGTTTAACAACCTGCAAAAAATCCGAAAGACAAATATTGGAAGCAGAGCTACGAATACGGCCGTGTTAATGAAAGGACTATTAATGATAATGGGGAAATAAGTGCAGGCTGCGTGTAATTATCTCACTCTGCCTTTCTCTTCTCCTCAGTGTCCCTCTGCACCACTGTCCAGCCTCAACATAATGGGCAAAATAACCATCACGATCACAGCATGGACTGCAGCATTATTCACCTTTATATGACATGATGCAAAGAACGTAGCCTACCATAAATACGATATAATATTAATATTATTTTCAATAATACTAATAATACGAATAATAATAATAATAAGCCTAGTAAAGACTAATATATATTTAGTGGAGATTCTTATTACAAAATAAAACATAGAATATTTTTAAAGATATATTTAAATTATTTAGTTTTATTCTTTTTGTAATATAGGTTTATATTATTCTAAATTAAAATGCAAATTGAAAAAATATATATACACACACATCGCGCTTTCCCTCTGTGTGTGTGTGTGTGTGTGTGTGTGTGTTTTCGTCTATGATTCAGTGCAGCATCATTCAGGGAGTACAGCCTCTGTGATCACAAACAGCCTGACTGTCCTTCTGGGACGGACACACAAAATACTCCTCAGTTATAATCAACAAAACATTTTAAAAAATGTATATAAATTAAAAAAAAATCTTACTAAAAAGAGCTGCTGCTGTAGCAAGAACAATGCCACAGATTTAATTTGTTGATGTAGCCTCTCTGCTAACATTTGCTGCCTTAGCCATCTTCTCAGTTGAGACAAAGATGTGGTCATCTGTGTGTGTGTGTGTGTGTTTGTATGATTTAGAGTATTCTACGTGTCACTCAAACACCCCTGTTCTCCCTCAGTATCACTTCATCCCTCTCTGCTCTCTGCTCTCTGCTCTCTGCTCTCAGACAGAGGCAGTAAAGGTGGCATTCGTGGGGGGAAGGCGCCTGCCACGACAGGGATTTGGGCACGCAGAGCAGCTTTAATTAGATGAGGCCTCATGCCATGTGGCTCCACAGTGTGTTTGAAAGGGATTGTGAGTGTGTTTGTGTGTCTATGCACAACGTCTGTGTACTCAAAGATGTATTTTTTTTGCATTTAGTTTGATATTAATTGACACTGTGGTCACAAAGACGTCACGCTCAAGATGATTTCGAGGAAACATTTAAATGTTTTTTTTCTCTAACAGCCTTTGCTCGATGCCATCTTTGTATTTCAACAAAGATCGTTCCTTGTTCTTTTGTAGTCAACTGGCTGGGATTTTGCTTAAATTCTAAACACACATTTGGAGGTGGTGTTTAAAAGACATCACCCTCCCACGGAGCCAGTCAGCGGGTGAGGTGGGTGTGCCATAAGCCTGGGAGATTGGCCAGGGAAAGGAAGGACTGGTTTGGACTGGTTTATCAACTTGTGTAATTCTTTTTTTTTTTTTTTCTTTATTGGTGCCCCTCACTGGTTGCTTGACTTTAGGGAGGATTTTACATGCAGGCATCACTCACGGGCCAATCACAGCATCGAGTACACAAAGAGAGGGTTTCTATTGGCTTAGAAAGCAAGAGGCGGGGCAAAGGGGTCTGTTGCAACATCACAAAATTAAGGGTCAGGGCAAGGATGGAAGTAAAAAAAGGCCTCAGGCCAGAAGAGTAAGATCTTTGTTCGGGCTCAGTGGTGAACCGTCGTTCGTTTGTTTTTCGTCCAGACTTGTATGAAAAACCCCCTCAGATCTCTTTGAATCAAAAAGATGGAAACATGCACTGCGATAATGTTTTATTAACCGTTTTCTCCTCTGGTTATAGGTCAGAATGTGGCCTGTTATACCTCGCCTGCAGCTTGAGAGGACGGGTAGCCTTAGGGGTTGGCTGTTATCTTTGGTTATCTAGCTGTATGAGTGATGTACATTCTTCATAAAGCTAGATAACCGAAAGTAACAAGAATCCCATTACACACCTGAAAAAGGCATGAAGACCCCGACTGCAGTAAAGAAAAGAGACGAATTAAACAAAAAACAAGAATGACACAAGTGAAGGTTTCCGCGGACATGGAAGAGGAACACATCGACAGGTAAGGTTTTCATTTGGCGTCACTGTTTGGTTTCACTGTTAGGTGTAAATTAAAATCTTGGGTAAAGGCGTTTGCTGCTTAGACTTGCAGACGACTGCACCAGTACGGCTTTCTGCAGCCGGTGGTATAGATCCTTAGCAGTGCAGTTGGTGCAACCGGATCACTTTTTAATCTAATAAGCCCCATGATCCTTGTGTGTGGGGCTGCACGTCGAGGCTTACAGGCAGCGTCACATGTCTGGGAAGTGATGGGCATGCTGAAAAAAGGCCCACACTGACTTCACCAAAGCCAGAGGACTTTGACAAGTCGTTTAACAAGTCCCAGTTTTCTAGCTTCTCCATGAATTTCAGCTTTGCCGCCAGCATCATTGGCACCAAGAGAATATCTGATGTAAAAAAAAAAAAGTTGGCCTTTTATATCACAGGAGCTGCATACGGTGCCATGAATTATACATATGTTCCGACTTGGATAGGATTGTGCAAGTTAAGAATACTCCCTCTTGGAGTTAATCCGGGCTCCCAGTCCCCCGCCGGCACCTAAGTGAACAGGCAAGGATTTGTTTGAGAGCAGTTTTGTTAAGTTAGCTCTTGTTGATTTTTCTCTCCTCCTTCCCACCTACTCTATTCTGCCTAAAGCATGAAAAGATGTTTGATTTGGGGTCCTGGCTGTTGTTTGATTAGACGTGACAGTTGGCTTGGTTGTGAATGGACCGTGGCAAAGCCTCCGTTGCACGAGGTGCTGCCATGTGGAAAGGCCTGATGGGATCTCGCTGAATGCTCCTGTGTGTGCGCAAGCAATCCTAGAAGGAGGGGAGTGGTCAAGAAGCAATCAAGCAGAAGGTGCCCACAGTGACAAGGTCCACAAGTGAGCCATGGAGAACAATTTCAGCCTTTAGGTTCCTTGGCTGGTCTCATGGTGAGGAGTAATTGGTCAATCAGATCCTCAAACTTGAGGTTCCTGATGGCTGATTGAAGGTGTGATTTCTTTTCTGTCCATCAAAGATAGAGGGTCACTCCTGCTGAGAGAGGCCACTGAAGATTGTTCCCAAGGTCTTAAGGCTGTAGAGCTGCAAAGGCGAGCAGTGAACTCCAACTGCAAAACCTGTATCATGCGGCGCTTTGGTGTTTCAACATAGCGTAGCAAAAGTGGAGCTAAAATTTCCTTTAAATCACACACACCTCATACTGTCTCCTTGTCCTGGCCCACACTTGTGGCTGCTGCATTGCAGGTGTTTATCGTAACATTTGAGCTTCTGAATTATCTTTCCTTGACACCAAGTGACCGCTTCCTCTTGGGAAGACAAAGTTGTACATTCTAATCTTTCTGGGTTTTTTTTTTTTTTTTTTGGTACAAAAACTGTGCTCACAGCGTCTGCTTTTGGTAGATCTGAGCTGGAGTGCATCTACAGGCAGGTCATGAATTTCATAAAGCAGGCAGCTTTTGTGTGGTGTAAAGATAAACACTCTTCCTTTTGCATCTTTTTCTGTGTCAGCTACAGTGTTGGGGGTGTGTGGGAACTGAAGTCTGGGACAGATTGTGTTTATACCATAAGCAGTGCCCTGGGAAACGCATGTCATGGTGCAAATGCTTTGTGCTGGCTCTGTGTGTGGCACAGTTATATCACTAACACTTCACACTGGGGACCCCAGAGACGGGATTGTCTTTGCGTCTGCAGGCCTGCAAGTAGCACAGAGATGGGAGAGCTCCTAAAAACTACCTCAGGGCTTCTGCTCACTCCTTTTTTCTGTGTCCCTCGGTGGTGTCTGAAATAGAAAAGGGGGCGTGAAGAAAAAGTTAAGGAAAGAAACCAAGGAGAGCAAAGCGAATAAGGAGGAAGGGAGGGGAAGGGAGGTGGTGGGTTTATCTTAGCCTTAATGCACTAGGCAAGCAGATTTAGATTCAAAGTGTCAAATAGAAAAACAGCCATTGTGGCCGGGTCCTGTGTGCCCCCCCACCAGTAGACTTTACAGTCAATAGAACTAGTGCACTTGTCACTAAGGAACAATGCACGCCTTTGCCTCCCTTTCAGCTCTGCCAGGTTGGAGCAGCCAGACAGTTTTCTGAATAAGTTCCAGTGACTCTTGGCCTCTTGTTCTCCCCCTGTCTTTCTGTTGAGAGGGACACACCAACAGGGTTCGGAAAATAGCTTCACTGTTGGCCATAGGCAGAAGGCCAGACCTCGCTTTTCGCCTACCACACAGACTTTCCCACCACCCCACACAGTAGTCCCCCAGAAAAAAAGACGATGTTTTCAGCAGCCACAGAAGTCAAAGGGCCTCCCCAGACAAAGGAGGTTAAGTTTGGCAACAGGTGTACGCTGACTGTGTTAGGACCACATGGGCTGACGCTGGTCAACTGACTCACTGCTCTGTTTTGGGAGATAATGAAACCTTTGTAATCATTGTTTTGACAAAAGGCAGCAAACCACGCCGATATTATGTGTTGATGGTTTTTAACAAATCTTGCTTTCTCTGGTGAAATTCAGTAATGTGTTAAGATCCTGTGCTGTGCTCACCCAAGGGAGAAAGCTGAGGGCAAACAACGTGGGTCCAGGCAGGAAGGAATAAGAAATGTTAGCCAGTTTTGTATAGCACCAAAGCATGGCTACATTGTCACACAGGGAACACAGGCAGTGATGTTTTAAGAGAGGCTTTCAAAGAGTTTGACCGGAGTCTTTTCTTTGCATACCTTTCTAGCATTTTCAGCCACAATAAATGGAGCCATTAAGCAGCAACACAAACAGAGCCTCTCTCACAGCCAGAGCAACACAGTGCATGCATTTGTTTGTTTCACTTGTTAATAAAGCGTTTACTAAGAGCCTCTGTCCGCAGGAAAAAAAGCCAATTCTGTTCAAATGACTTGGCAAAGCATCCGATGGAGAGTCTGTTCAGACTGAAGCTGCTCCCTCTGCCATTGTCTAGCTCTCTCTCACACACCTACAAGTCCGGAGAGAGCACACAATTTCATTGTTGTGTGAGCTGTTAATATCAGAGGCTTCACAATGGCGCCTATTCGCCATATTTGCATAAGGCACTTTTCCAACAAGGACCCGGAGAGGGCTTGAAAGCTGGCCCACTCCACTGCCAATGGCAAAAAAATGTCAAGTGCCAATTAGGAGAGGTTTGCCACCATTCAACACTTCCCCACCCACCACTGTACTCCTTCCCTTCCCGTTTATCCGCCGCAACTCTCTCACACTCCAGGTCACCCCTGTTTCTAGCACCTTATTCCAATTTCAGTCGCAGCTTTCCCCTGCTGACACCCAGAGACAAAGGCTGGCTCCCGCCTCGGTGGGATTCACAGAGGTAACAAAATGAGACAGTGTGCTCTGAGCAGTAATTAGTCAGCTGTCTTTGTTGATTCTGTTGAATAGAAGGGTTCAGGAACTATGTTACTAATCCTGTGAGACACAGACTTAGCCAACAACAGGATTTCTGATTTTAGCTAGCTGGGCATGTTGGGCAGGCTTATTAAAATGGGAGGATTCTGCTGAAGATGAGGCTGATTTTACGTCACAACATCCTGTTATAGCCACATGCAGTGTAACAGCATCGAGACACACAATGATTTTCTCCACGCTAGCCTAGCTCATCATTTTGCACGGACGCTCAGAGAATACTGAGCAGCACATTATTAGAACATCTCTTTGAAAGTATTTGAACTGAGAACCCGCTTTGAGTCAGCTGCTACAGCTAAACTAAAAAACTATTAAGGTGGGATTTAGCACAGCTACGTCAAATCCAAGTTAGCTTATCTGGTGAATGTCAATACTGCTGAACAGCTGTTTACACTTTAGCCCATTCAGGAGTATCTCAAATGTTCTTATCCGCGGACCCTGAGATACAGAACATATGGTGACAGGAATGGAGATCAGAGTCAAGACTGATCGTAAACCTACGGGACACCTAGTGCAATGTTTGGCAACTCTTTTGGCACAGGAAGATGTGAAAAAATATAATGTTGTTAAAATAAAGGACAAAGGCAGAATATTCATTTTTTTAAATTAAGTTGTGACACATTAAACAAAAGTAATCATGTTTGTCCAATTGGGCTGCTGTGGTGTTGAACAGGGCATTTACCTAACTTACCGCCTCCTGCCACTCAAAAGGATTTTTCTCTTGTCCTTGTCTTTCTTTCATTCTTTCATTCAATGTCTGTGTCGAGATTTTTTTCCTTTCCCACCCTTGATTCTCAGATGGTTGGATCTGATTTGCATACATTTGCATAATGAAAGTCATTTGCATGCTCAGGGGCAGACTGTACCATGAGAACAGACATGAAAAGGTGTGTGTGTGTGTGTGTGAATGCACTGTGCATACATGCATTTGTGTGTATGTGTATGGCCTGAGTGTTTATGCTGTACATGTGATGCCAACGCAGGTTTGGGCAAAATGTACGTTCTGATTTTCTGTACGTCTACTTCTGTGCAGGCTAACACCACCAGACCAGTGAAGGAGAGCTGGCAAAAGGAGACTGGAAAACAGAAAAGGAGGGGGAGGAGGAGGGGTTGCTGTTGATCTGCCTCCCCTCTCTCCTCACCCTCCTCTGCATCGCCTCTTTCCTCCACCTCCTCCTCCTCCCCGCTTCCTTCTCCTCAGCTTCATCCTTAGCAGTGCCCTTTTTCCTGTACAGCACAACGCAGCCTGCGCCACCATCTTAGAGCAACGCTGGCATGAAATGGAAGTGGAAAAGACCCGTCGGTGCAGGTAACACACCAAACCCGCCTCGCAATCCATGCTGCCATCTCGACCCTCCATACACCCATCCTCCCAGCTCTCCGTGCCCTCGTCGCTCATTTCCAGCTGTACACACAAAACGTTTTAATCACCTCCGACGTGTTTGTTAATTGCGCGAACGTAGAGACACGCTGATAGATGAAAGGGAGGGTGAGCCAATGTAGGCGGGGCATGTTTTTGTATTTGTGTACACATTAAATCTATCAGGACACATTCAGTAAGCATCTGTCCTCCAAGGATTTTCTTTCCCGTTTGGGAATTCTTACGCCATCCTCACAGAGGTGCCCCGTCATGGCGGCAGTGGCAACCATCTTGGAGAAACGACACAAATCATTCCTGTCTGACAATCAACACTCATATTTTTGTGTTATATTTTGTTTAGTCCTTTTTTTTTCTTTGTGTTACAACACGTTCTAGATTTAATTCAAAGAAAGCTTAATGTTTCTCTTCAGCAACTTCAAAGAAGCTGAAAGAAGATTTCGAGGTCAAGTGAAAACAGTCACCACTGCAGTGTGTAACACAGAGCAGCAGAAAGACATAACATAAAAGACTTAAGCTAGTGAAAAAATTAGTAAAGAATAGGCTTTATTTATGAAGGTATAAAGTGGGGTCTTAAATCCCCTCTGAAATTCTGTTCTATCATCGTGAGTGTTTGGGATTTCTCGTTGCTCAGACAAGCAAAATATTGTTCTCCCACAGCAAGCTTATTGTGGTTTAACATTGTTCCACCTCTTTAAACCATCTTAAACCAAAACTCATATAAGCTTCTGCTGGACTTGGGTCAGTGAGACAATGCATGCCATTGTCCGTGAAACTGAGACGTTCATTTGTTACTATCTGATGTTAGCCATCTAAGGCCTTCCGAAAATATGGTGCCAGAAATCTGCTGATAATACTTGTTAAAGGATGTTAGGAATGACGGCAGGATTTTTGCCCTGTTGAAAAAGAACAAAAAACTGGCCATAGTTTTAAAGAGTTAAACTTTTACTTCCACACAGACAACCCCAAAGTGGTTCTTGTTCCCTAATGAGGTCACATTAGGCTTTCTGTTTTCAATTTTTGATGATGCCATCTTTAAACATGGAGGCGTCGCTTGGCTTTCCTGAGAAGTTCCGCAGTAACTGTGTCAAACCCAAGATGCACTAATCACAGCCAGGCCTCAGTAAACAGGTGGTAGATTGAGCGAAAGGGGGTCGGGGTCGTTCTCAATTTACTGTGTAAATTATGCAGAGCCCAAAACAATACAAACAGTAGACAGTGGAGTGGCTGGCGTTGGCTAATGAGATGATGAGAAGCCTGGGAGCTAGCTGAGGTGAGGGGGTGGGCACGGCCAGCAGCTTGTGTGTCTGGATCTGTGTGTGTGCGTGTTTGTGATGGACCAGTGTGAGGAGCTCTGGCAGGGGAGCAGACACTGTCCCGTCTACACAAACCCCACCATCAGACTAGAGAGGGTAAAAGAGGGGGTAGCAGGCAGCTGGGGCACCCTGCCCCCATTGTGCCGGCAAGCGCACCAGCCTTGGGAACCTCTGTGGCAGAGCCCCCCTCCCAACCCTGGCACGTTGGGGCCCCCCAAAAGTCTGGCTTCAAACCCCCATCACCACCATCTCTTCCTCGCTCTTGTCTCCTCAGCCACTACCACTCCTCCCACTCTAATGTGAGGCTGGGGGCCTGGGAAGGACTTCAAGTTCACGGCCAGACCTCCTATTGAGCTGACAGCCTGACTGTTTGCTCAATTCGGCTCCCTATTCAGGGCTGAGCTGGAGGAGGGAGCGCAGAGAAAGGGGCTGCAGGATTGTAGGGTGGGGGTGTTGCCAGATACGACATGGTAGCGCTGTTATAGCCATTCATTCAGCAGGGGGAGACGAGTAATGAGAGAGGGAGCCGGTGAAGAGGGATCGGGGCTTCGAGACGGCGTGCATAAATGAAAATGAGGAATCCAGGCTCAAAGTTTGCTTTGAGCAGTGTGCGC